CTAGTCCTCTTACTTAGTTTTTGGCCTGTGCCAAGTCACAACCTCTTTGTGCCTTTTTCTTCACCTTTACCCTATAATCTAATTCAGGAAAGTATATATACATATATATGTATACACACACACACATGTACATACATAAATAAATAAATATACAAATATACTTACATACACATGCATACACATATACATATAAAATACCCTAGGGCTGTAAAAAATAAAATATTAAGCCTTCCCTCATGGAGCTTATTATATTCTACTGAGCCTCAGTTTCTTAGGTAAAGTGTGGATCATTTGATGACCAAGTTCACAGGGCAACAGGAGGGACCTGAGAATATCTACTCCAGATCAGGTCTTCTAACCTACATGTCCCTTAGGGTTCTGTCCTGGACCACCTTCTGTTCTCCCTCTATACTATTTCATTTGTTGATCTCATCAGCTCCCATGGATTTAATTTTTACAAATGACTCTCATATCTACCTCTCCTGCCCCAATCTCTGCTGACCTCCTATTCTGCATCTCTGACTTTCAGACATCTCAAAATACATGTCCAGCAGACATCTTAAACTTGTGTCCAAAACCAAACTCATCTTGGCCAACTAAACCCTACCTCCTACTTTCCCTATAATTGAGGACAGCAATACCATCCTCCCAGTCCCCTAGGCTCACTACTTAGAAGTCATCCTGGATTCCTCACTCTCTCTTGCCCCTATATCCAATATGTTGCCAAGGCCTGTCAATTTCACCTTGGCAACATCTCCCAAACACTTTCCCTTTTATCCTCTGACACTGTCACCACTTTAGTGCAGGCCCTCAACACTCATACAGGGATTGCAGCCTGCTGGTGGGTCTGCCTGCCTTCAAGTTTCTCCCCACTCCAATCCAGCCAATCCAATCCAATTCAGTCACCAAACTGATTTTCCTAAAACACAGGTCCAATCATTTCACCCTCCTACTCAATAAACATCAGTGGCTTCCTGTTGCCTCCAGAAGCAAACACAAAATGCTGTTTGGCATTCCAAGCCCTTCATAACCTAGCCCCCTCCAACCTTTCCAGTCTTCTTACACCTTACTTCCTGAAACATATTCTTTGACCTCCTGGCTGTGCCACAAGCAAGACACTCCATTTCTCAGCTCTGGACAATCTCTATGGCTGTCCCTCACACTTGGAACACTCACTCCTCCTTTGCTCTAACTACTCACCTCCCTGGCTTCCTTTTAGTTCCAGCTAAAATCCCACCTTCTACAGGAAGCCTTCCCCAACCTTTCTTAATTCCAGTGGCTTCTCTCCATTTATTCTCTGTTTACCTTGTACATAGTTTGCTTTGCATATATTTCCTTGCATGTTGTTTCCTCTATTAGATTCTAAGCTCCCTGAGGACAGGGACTGTCTTTCGCCTCTTTTTGTATCCCCAGCACTCAGCACAGTGCCTGGCACGTGTCCATTCCATTCCGTCCTTTTCAGTTGGGGTTTTCTTGGCAGAGATATTTAAGTGGATTGGCATTTCCTCCTCTAGCTCATTTTACATATAAGGAAACTGAGGCAAAGAGGGTTAAATGACTTGCCCAGGGTTTCACAGCTAGCGTCTGAGGTCAGATTTGAGCTCAGGAAGTTTTCCTGACTCCAGGCTCAGCACTCTATCCACTGTACCACCTTTCCTGGCATATAGTAGGCACTTCATATTTATTAGATACAAATAATTATAGTGTGTGAAGAGGTGAGAGGAAGAGCTGACCAAGTACTCTAGGGAAATTTCAGAAAGAATACTTTTAGTCAGAGGAAGAGGAGGGTTACTCTCAAAATGTGTCCTCCAGAAAATGGCCCTTGAGCTGAGAATGTTTCAAAGGGTCAGATAAGAATGAAGTGCATCTCAGGCACAGGGGGTTGCCCATCTGTAACTCACATGATTGTAGTAAGGGAAGCATTTTGTAAACTGTAAAGCAGTTTGGAATGTGTTATTCTTGTTCTTCCTATTATTATTGTTGAACCAAGCATGGCTATGATACTGTAGGGGTCTCCACCAACTCCAGACCTAGCACTTAAGCTGAGACCTGGTTTTTGTGCATGTTCATATCAGGTTTGAAAATTATATCATTCTGACATTCCATAAAGAACATTTTCTGGCATTAAAATAGGCATAAGATGTTAAACTGTAAAACCTGTGCTCCCCCATGACCCGCCCCTTTGGGTGGTCACCCCTTAAGCAAGGGCCGATCCCAATTCAATCAGCTTTACCACTTTTAACCTTCACTTCACACCCATTTTTGATATTAGTGAAGGTAGCAGGTGGCTCAGTGGATAGAGCACTGGGCCTGGAGTCAGCAAGACTCAAGTTCAAATCTAGCCTCAGACATTTCCTAGCTATGTGACCCTTGTGCAAGCCACTTAACCTCTGATTGCCTGATGAAAAGATCCACTGGAGAAAGAAATGGCAAACCACTCCAGTATCTTTGTCAAGAAAACCCCACGGGCAGAGGTCCACAGGGTCACAAAGAGTCTGACACAACTGAACAACTTTCTTTGGGGTTTTTCAAATCAACTAGAAAGGCTGATAACCCAAAAGGTTCCTAGTAAAGTGCAAAATCACATGGACCTGGCAAATTTCTTTGGGGTACTCACTATACATGTAAGGAATGACTATGCTGGCAGCATAAATGCTCAGGTCAATTTGCTACAAGAGAATCCACTCTTCAAGTAGCATGACATGACTTAAGTGAATCCCCTCATAAATAGCCCTATTTTTCTATGGCATGAAGGACTACAAAGCACTTTCCTCACCATACCTCTATAATACGGGTAGAGAAACAATGATCACTCCCATTTTAAAACCAAGGAAATCTGTGCTCACAAAAAGAAATAATTTGCTCAAGATCACACAAGTTGACAGGAGCAGAGCCAGGATCAAAAACTAAGGTGTGTAAATTTTAGGACTCTCAATTCAGTGGTCTTTCCACATAGTGGTCATAAGGCAGTGTAGTGCAGTGGCAAGAACACTGACCTGTGAGTCTCAAGACCCAGATTCTAGTTTCCATTTTGCTACTAACTAGCTGTGTGATAGTGTTTCCTCTACTTCACCTGGTTTCCTCATTTGTTAATTATGAGTAAAAGCTACTCCCTCTGCCTGCCCTAACAGGACTCAGGAATCATGGATGTGAAAAGTGTTGTGAAACCCACAAAGAGCAAGCATAAGGCAAAGCTGCTCATATGAAGCAGAAGACAGCACTTGAGGGGGAGTCAAAAGACTTGAGGCTCCAATCCTGCCTCAGCCAACAATGAGACCCCATCACCAGGAGCAAGTCACAACCTAAGCCTGTTACCCCTCATCCATCAAAGTGAGGAAGATCAAATAGATAAATCTCAGCTAGGATCCTCATTCAAGGATTCTAATTCCTGGCCCTGCCTCTCACTAACCCGCTGTGAGCATGGGTAAATTACTGAGCTTTTCTCCAAGCCTGGAAGAATAAGATAATTTTACAGTCTGATAGGAACTCAGCAGCCATCTAGTCAAGCCTACATGCCCCCAAAATTTTCATAATACACTTGTATTTGTCAAATCTAAATTTGCCATGAGATCACAGGAACACACATTCAGAAGTGGAAAGGACCTCAGGGCCTAACTTCATTTTATAAGAGGAAAACTGAGGTCCAGGGTGGTAAAAGGACATGTCAAAGGTCACACAAATTGTAAGTGGCAGAGAGCTATTTTGAATCCAAGCCCTGACTCCAAATTCATCATTCTTTCCAATGTACAATTCTGCCACTCAAGAGGAAGGAGTACAGGGGGAGTAAGAGAGGGTCTGTTCCTCATTTCATCTTCTGAGGCCAAATGAAACAAGTTCAATCTTTTACATAAAAGCCACTTATATGCTTAAGACAGCTATTGCAACCTTGTAGCACCACCCACAAAATCATCCCTTAAATATTCTCTCCAAGCTAAATCTCCTACAGTACCTTTACCCAGCCCTCATACAGCAGGGACCAGCCTGGGTGCCCTCCTCTACATCCTTTTCAGCCACAACTTTTACCACTCTTATCACGCCCAGAACTGAACACAATATTTAAAATGTGATCTGAACAGGGCAGAGAATCTGAGTACTTGGAGTGTAATCCAGACTTTATTACTGACGGCCTCCGATTGCTTCTCAATGCAACTCAAAATATGTTAGCTTTTCTAGCTGCCATGTCACCCTCCTGATTCACTGAATTAAATGCCCCACATTTTTTTCAAACTTCTAACCATGATTCTCCTGTCTTGTACTTATAAAATTGATTTTTATTCCAAGTGTAAGACTTCACATTTATCATTTTTAAATTTCATCTTTAAGAGTCATTTCACAATTCTTGCCCATCAACATCTTTTTGAGTCCAAGATTACTTTTCCAACTTTGTGTCATCTACCAATCTGATAAATATGTCATCTATACCTCTAACTCACTGACAATATTAAGAAAAGTGGACATCTCCTTTCATTCTTTTGCAGAGGTGGGGAGCCCGAGGTGGATCCACAGGTGGGAAATAACAATTATACCAGATCTTTTCAATGTGTTGATCACTTCTCTGGGTTTTTTTCCCTTTTTTTTCTTTTTAACTCCTTTTTCTAAATCCTAGGTGGCTCTCTATTAGAGGAAAGGGGGAGGATATCAAGGAAAATCTACATGATGTAGAAACGAATTATATCAATAAATTTCTTTTTTTTAAGTGCAGAACCAAAAATAGATCCCCAGGGTACTCCACTAGGAACCTCCTGGCCAGGTTGAAATAAACTCACACTGTAAAGAAAACAATCTTCATCCTTCACAGCACTTTGAAAACTTTCATTAAAGAAATATGAACCAATATTATCATAAGGTAGCAAATGATAACTTAAAAGATCACTGATCAGGTTCAGCTTCTCAGAGAGGTTCAAATTAGAATTCAAAGTGGTAAAGAGCAAAGTTACCCATAATTATATCTACCCATTTCTGACAGATAAAGAAAACACAAAAGTCCAATACCATCTTACTAAAATGTAAGAACGCCCAAAAATTTAACTTTTATTAAAAGCTGAAATAATCAAAATTACTCTTAAAAAATACTTTCCCCAAAATGTTACATCCCTTTTCACCACCCTGGTCCCACAAGAAGAATGAGTATGAGCAGAGAAGCGCTTTCAAGACACACGTCACATATGGGGATACCCAAATGAGGTAGCAACTTGGATCCTGAAATCATGCCCTACAATCACTCTGGCAGAAATACCTACTTCACTAGCTGTGTGACCCCTGGGCAAACTACTTAGCCTCTCTATGCCACAGCTAAATCATCAGTAAAATGAGGATAACAACCTCTCCATCCACCCTTTAGGGTTACTTTGAATAAAGTATTTTGTAAACCAAGTGCTATAAAAAATGGTCACAGGAATTTAGAAGTCATCTCATCTAATCCAAACCCCTTCTCTTTACAAAGCAGGGAGCTATTATTGTCAGGAGTGTGGTACTAAGGCACCAGTGTTTCTTTTTCATCTCTCTTCAAGATGAAGTTACTGATATGGGCATGCAATCTTTGATCAAGAAGTGAGGCTGTCACCTCTTAAGACCAACACGAAATGTAGCTTTACAACATCTTTTCAAAATTAAAGGCAATACAAAAAAAGGAAGAAATTGGTCAGACTATTCAGCTACCTGTAGAAACTCCTACGATTCTGAAGTACATAGGACAATCCCCTGAGAAAGGAAGATAATAGGATTTAATCATCTAAATCCCTCATTTTAAAAATGAGAAAACTTACACGCAGAGAGACAAAGTTCTAAGTAGTAGCAGAACTAAACTGTGAATACAGGCCTCCTATCTCAAATCCAGTCTTCTTTCCACTGCTCTGACTCTAAATGCAGTGCTCATTGCATTAACAGATTACTACAATGGAAACTCTACTACACCACGACTCCCACAAAAATACTGACAGATATGCTATTATATTCAAATGGATGGACACAGAAACAACTTTCCTTTTCTACTGGGATGTTTGGGGCTGGGGGAGAATGTACTCCAAGAGAAACAGACCAAATAAACTAGACAAAATGATGCCTGACTTTCCCAGGCCTTTATCCCAGCCTCTCTTCTGAATCAGTACACTTCCCTCTGCATACTGGACACTCCAATCTCCTTTTAAGAGTCATTAGGAAGCCCAAATAACTTCACAGTCCCTGCTTCCCGGCTGCTGTCATATTTGCCATCTTTGTCATCACAAGCAAATGCCAAAAGAGGTCTTTTCGGATGCCAGGCCACCGTGAATGTTGGGGACTCACACTGCACCTCCCAGAGCTTATCACCTACAATCAACATACACAGAAAGAAAAAGTCAGATACATTCACATACACATTGATTAGAAATAAATTTTACATTTCTTTACCACTTTTAAGACCTAAAAAGAACTTCTTTACAATCACTCTGTGAGCTAAGTAATATGTAAGGATTATCCTCATTTTAAAGGTGAAAAAACTAAAGCTCAGAGAGGTGAAAACCACTTGCCCAAGGTCACAGAGCTAGGAAACACCATAGTTAGGATCTAAACTCAAGTCTTCTGGCAAAATTCATTACTCTTTCCACTCCACCCCACTGTTTCCAAAATATAGGCTGGACTAGGTGATTCTGAGGGTGTTATTCCATTAACAAAAAATTGCAAGAAAAAACAAGATGTGATAGAAGGTAAGTTTTCTCTCCTTTGAAACATAAGTGCACCAAAAAAAAAAACTGAGAAACCAAAATCCTTTCAAATAAATTTTGACAATATTTAAAGGATTGTGATTTTCTAGCAAAGGGCAACAAGAGTCAATAAAAACCCACATATTAAGGCCTTATGGCTTAGGAAATGTTTTCCACATAATTCTATGAAGTAGGTAGTACATGTAACATTCCTCATTTTGCAGATGAGAAATCTGACAAGCTGATCTGCACATCAGAAAGGGATAACTTTCATTTTGGGTTTTTACCCAGATCCAAAATCTGTATGAAGAAAATCTTCCTTTCAGTGTTTTTTAGCCATCCCCTTAAATTAAGATGAATCAAGGTGTATACAGTCAAGGTGCCTCAAACTATTCCTCAATTTGACTTCTCCAGATGCACTTCAAGTCCCTTTCTCTCTCCAGATAGAACACTAAATTAGGACGAATTTTAAGCTAGTGGCTATTCATCACTTCATTAGCATTTCAAAGGGTTGTCAAACTGCTTTACTCAAACTTCTTTTCTGATATCTATGATTAAGGGTTTTGTCATCCTACAGAAGAATTCTACATTTGCATATCTATCAATAGTACTCTAAAATGGTGTCAAAGGTAACCTTATAAAATCTTTTATCTAAAAATATTGAACATTTTCAGGCTTTAGAAGAAGTGAAAGGCAGCTACAAATTAAGGAAGCTTTTATGATAGATACAAAATGCAACTCTAAACATAAATGGACACAATCTACCTCCCCACAACCACACAACTGTTCTTATGAAACGCAAAACTATTGGGGTGGAAGGATGTTTAGATAACACAGCTCACTCAGAAAGTGATTCTTGGGTTCTTGACTTTAGAAAACCCTTCTGTGTCAGCTCTGCCACTTACTACTTGTCATACCTTGGACAAGTTATTTCAAATCAATTTTATTATCTGTGAAAATGAAAGCTAGAACAGAGACCTAAGGTCTTTTCCAGCTGTACTTTCTGCAATTCTGTGAAATGGGTTTATTAAGCACGTATCACTAGACATGGTGGTAATCTCCTTACATGGAAATTTTTTACCTGTCTCTACTTCAGCAATGTCAATAAAGTGATCTTCAGATGCCGATGCCAGCATCTTCCCATCATGGCTAAAGCTGAGGGTTCTCACTGGCCAATCCAATCTGTAGCATAGGGAGAAAGTAGGATTAAATAACTCATGATTAAATAAAATTCTTTTATGTATAACACACATATGTATGACTGGAAAAGGAAATGGGCTAGTCCCACAATACGAATAGATGGACAGCCTGAGTGCCGAGTTGATATCCACAAAATATTATGCACATTATATAGAACCAAAAAGCCTCCAGCACACTGTGTGAACCTCATCTGAGAAATGTAGAGAACAAAGGAGAATAGCACAAAGGAGGCACAGATAGGCAGAAGAGATGAATGGCCAGGAAGTGCTACTGACCTGGAAAAACATCTCACACACACTAATTCATCAACATCCCAAAGGCTAACCAGTGCATCAGCACTTCCTGTGGCAAAGTACTTCCCCATGGGGTCAAATTTGATACAGATGCAATTGGAGGGATGGGCATTGATGGACTGCACAGGCTTCAGCTCAGGATAGCTAGGAAGAAAAAACACAAAACAAGGCTCATGGATCATCTATCCACATACTCAAAATGCAACCCCATGACACCCTGGAATCTCCATTATTGGCAAAGGCATTAAACTGGGAGTTGACACAAATTCTAACTGACTGTAGGGAAACCTGACCAATTACATTTGGTCTTTCTGATCTACATTTTCCTCACCTGTGACATTAAGGGATAACATTCATAGTACCTATCCTTTTTACCCCTCCCATGACTGGAATCTGTTCCCTCTTCACCTCTTACCTCTTAGAATCCCCTCTGGCACGTAGTAAGTACTTCATAAATACTTTTCCCTCTCAAAGCTTATTTCAGCATCGCCTGCTATATGAAGATGCTCCTCATTCCTCCAGCTACTAGCGCCTTTCTTCCCCCCTCCACAATTAACTTGAACTGATTTTTGTATATTATTTACACGTACATGTTGTCTCTGCAACAAAATGCACAGTAACCTCTTTGAAGGCAGCAATTATTTCATCCCCGTCTTTTTTCATCCCCAGGGCCCAGTACATATTACCTACTTAATAAATGCTTCTTGACTGATTACCTTCTCCTAGGATTGTTTTAAGGAAAGCATTTTTTAAACTTATAAAGCGGTTTTACAAACATGAGATCAAAGTGACTTTTCCCTTCCTCACATTTTTCTCAGTATACTTTGTTTCCATCTATCATTAAACCTCATCACATTCTATTTAATATCACACTTTATAAATATCTCATTTTATCTTCACAACCACCCCAGGAAGGAGGTACATCATTGTCCTCATTTTGTAAATGAGGAAACTGAGGCTAAGAAAGGTTAATCGACTTTCCTAAGGTCACAAAGCTAGCATCTGAGACAAAATTTGAACTCAGGTTCTCCTGACTCCAGATCCAGCTCTTTTCACTGTACCACCTCGTTTCCTCAATTGATGCCACTAATATAATTCAAGCAAGAGAAAACAAAGACCTGAACTATGGTGGTGTAAGTGAAAGGCAAGGAAATTACAATACATCTATGCTGGTCTACTTGCTGTTCCTTGACCATGATACCCCATCTACCAGCTCCCTTCTCTTGCCCTGGGTCTCCCCATAACTGGAAAACTCAACCTCCACCTGTTGGTTTCTCTGGTTTCTTTCATGACTCAACTAATTCCACTTTCTGCAGGAAGCCTTTCCCACTCCCTCCAGCTGCTAGTGCCTTCCTTGCCCTCTCAGAATGCCTTTCATCTCTTCTATAGATCTAACAGGTAATAATTTACTTCTTTCTCCTCATTACAAAGTAAGGTCCTTGAGGGCTATTTTTGCCTTTCTTTGTATCTCCAGCACTTAGCATAGTGCTTAGCACGTGATAAGCACCTTATAAATGCTTATTGACTGAGAATTTAAGCTCCTCAAATACCTGCAGGAAAATGAATAGAAAATGAATCCTCAAAATTATAATGGCCAAGCCTGGCCCCAAAGAAGAAATAGGAGAAAGCACTTCCTCTCTACTTCTTTGTAGAGGTGGGGAACTATGGGTATGGTTCACTTTATATAATGTTGGCATTTTCAATGTGTTGGTTAGTTTTGCTGAACTTTTTTCTCCTTTTTTATTTTTCATTATAAGGGGTAATTCTTTAGGAGGGGAAGAGGGAATAGAGTTGGTGAGGTAAATAAATCAGGTTGCAATAAAAATATAATTTTAAAAATTCAAAGCTTGTCAGATTGAAGTAGATAATGAGTGCAAAAGACTTTATGAATGTCAAAGCAACAGAACTTGGAAACGCATGAGTGGAAGGAAGAGAAGGAGAGAAAAAGATGAAAAGCAGGGTAGACAATCAAGGAAGGATCCTAGGTTGTGAAACTAAGTGACTGAGAGGACAGTGGTGCTCTCAAGACCCACGGGGAAATACAAGATGCAGCATCATAGAATACAAAAGTTAAAAGAGATTTCAGCATGGTACAGTAAAAGCAGCACTGGATTTGAAGTCAAAATACTTGGGTTCAAATGCTATATCTGCTACCCATTACCTGTGCTACTTTGAGCAAGTCGTTTAACTTCTCTGGGCCTGTTTCCTTGTCTGTAAAATAAAAGGATTAGATCCCTTCCAGCTCTAAATATATCATCCTAAATGGAGTGAAACCCCTCATTTAACAAAAGAGGAAACCAAACACCATGGAGGGAAGTGACCTGCTCAAGCTATCATTGCTAGTGTTAGATCCTTCTCTTTGCTTCTTCTACCTGTCAATAGGGAGTATGCCCTACTCTTCATTCAAAAAAGAATGATAGGGGGCAGCTAGATGGTGAAGTGGATAGAGCAATGGCCCTGAAATCAGGAGGACCTGAGTTCAAATCCGGCCTCAGACCAAACGCTTGACACTTACTAGCTGTGGGACCCTGGGCAAGTCACTTAACCCCCAACTGCCTAAAAAAAAAAACAAAGAGAATGATAAATGTACCTATCACCACAGCCACATCTCTACCTACTTTGTTTCCCTGAAATTCACCTGGCATTTGGTTTATACTCCTTTTATGCTATCAACATGAAGTTATCTCTCCTTCCTCTCTGACCCTAAAGCACACTTTGTATCATTCACATGCCACTTACATTATGATTGTGCTGATGTCTTATTTAACCTCCTAGACTCCAACTCCCTGAGAAGAAGGATCAGTACTTATTTCATACATTATCCTTCTCAAAACCTAGTGCAGTACAATTTACACAATAAACTCTCAAATGTTTAATGAAGAAGAATAATTCCATGGCCTAGTAGACTGAGCAATGGAGTTGGGAATCACAAGCTAGATTCAAGATGAGACTCATTCACTTAGATACTATGTGACCCTGCATCATTCTGAACTTTTTTACACATGTCAAATTAATATACATGTCAAATTACGGGTGATAAGGCTGGCATTAGGCCTACCGCACAGGGTTACTTTAAGAAAAGTATTTCAGGCCTCAGACACTTGAAACTTCTTAGCTGTGTGACCCTGGGCAAGTCACTTAACCCCAACTGTCTCACCCCCCAAAAAAAGTATTTTACAAACCATAAAGTACTATATAAATCTAAGTTATGATAATAAGTGAGAATGTCTTCATGTTATGAATTCTAAAAAACACAACCAAAATGCAAGATACAAAACGAAAAGGAATAAATCCCTTCATTTCCCAGAGGAAGAAACTGACACATTACTGAATTGGTCTAGTGAACTGCCCAAGGGGAACAACTTTTAACTAGGCAGAGTTGGGATTCAAATCCAAGTCATCAGAATCTAAATTTAGTACTCTTTCAACTGCTCTTACTACTTACTCTATGCTGCCTTCTCTCTATAAGTCTGCAAATGAGTCACTTTGACAAACATATTCCCTCCTCAAGTAATGACTGTTTTAATGAAACCCATGATAGCAAGTAGAGTTAAAATAGTACTCATCTCATCTAATGATTGTAGAAATTTGTATTTTCTAGTTCAGCACCCAATGTTCAGCAACATGGTATAATAGAAAAAGCACTGGGTACGAATCCCTGGTTCAACTACTAAGCAACAGTGGGACCTAGAGCAAATCACTTCTGTAAGTGTCCTCATCCATAAAATGAGGAAGTTAGACTACATGATTTCCAGAGTCCCTTTCCCACCTCTGACATCCTATGTTCTAATCTAAGTAAATTCAAGGAATTTGAGATTAGATAGCTAAAATGGGAGCTGGGAAAGACTAGCATCAAAGTAGCATAAGCAAAAGTAATCATAGGAACAAAAACATGAGGTTAAAAATCAGTACAAAACAAGTAAGAGGAAAACACAAACCCAACCAGCACACCTTAACTGTGACTTGATTAAGCAACCCAATAACACAGTCTAGGTTCTCAAGTCCCTTCCTGCTCTCACTTTCTATAAGTCTGTAGCAGCCATAAATAGAAGAGAAATTTCCCTGAGCTGGGTGATACCCATTACCTGAGAATGTTGATACAACCATTGCCATTTGTCAGGAAGAACATATTATTATCATTATTCCAGGAGATTTCATTTACTTCAAATTTAAATTGCTCCTCTGCTTTTGAACGGTGGGTTTTAGCATCAATGAAAGTCACCACATCATCTTTATTGCCCACAGCAATGGTCTGCCCATCAGGACTCCAGCAGATGTTAATATTCTCCCCTAGGAAAGAAAAAAAATAAGCAAACTACTTGACCAAGATCCACCAAATAAACTGTCTCAGCAACAGCTGTAATGCAGTAGAAAGGACGCAGGACAAAAGGCTGAAAGACATGGGTTCAAAAATCAATTTTATTTACTAGCTGTGTGTCCTTAGGCACATCACAACCTCCAAGATTCAGTCAACAAAATTAAAACAGTAATCTTTGCACTATCACATCTAAGGTTTATTGTGAAGGTAATCCCTAAAGCGCTACATAAATGCAAGTTGGGTTATTTTACTAATAATACAAGTTAAAACTTTTCTTTGAATACTGCATTAAGTAGTAAGGAGGAACATATATAAACTGCTAAATACTAAATCCTAAAATCCTAAAATTAATGCTAAAGCTAAATCCAATGACCTCTTATATCAAATATGTCACTTCAAACATCATTTCTATGGTGATTTAAGGTTTACAAAGCACTTTCTTCCCAACAAACTTGTAAGGGAGATGGGGATAAGGACTGGACCCAGAATTTCATTGGTACAGGTAACATGGTGGGAAGGAGAGTAAAGAGGGGTGAACAGACTTCCTCTACAAATATAGGTCAGCATCTCCTCTGCAACTTACTGTCTTAAGACAGCTGCCTAAAGCAGGTGTCAAATCCTTTACCCAACCAGAATAAAATGTAACTGAGAAAAGTTTAACAAAATAAAAAAAATACATGTATGATTTCCTAAATCAATATGGCACCTGCAGGGACTCCATTTGAGTTTGATATGATGTGCCTCTAGCACTGATAAGCTAAGTGACTTGTCCCAGGTGACATAGCCATATGTCTCAGACGGCATGTTTGAACTCCAGTCTTTCTGGCTTCCACGATGCATTTTCTAAAGTAGATTGTGTAAGTATTGTTCTCATTTTACATATGAGAAAACTGAGGCCCAGAAAGTTCAAATAATTTATCTAAAGTTACCAGGCAGTAAGCAACAGACCTGGAATTCCAGCCCAAGTTGTGTGACATCTAAATTCAGTGCTCCTACCACTACACCAGTAGACACATAGACAGATATGGATGGATGCACAGGCAGAAAAAAATGCTTTGAGCTATCACTTCTGTGAATAATTTGCATGAAAATGTTAGCTCCCGTTTCTATACTGTTTCACTGAAAAACATGTGAAGTTGGAGTGAAAAGGACTATCACAATTTTAGTGAAAGGGAACCAAGACTCAGAGGTGAACTTCCATTCTCCAGGCGACTCAGCTGTTAAATGTCAAAACTGGGACTTTACCCTATGTCTTCTAGTCCAGTTTCCACATACCACTATGGACTACAGTACAGCACAAGAATCCCTTCCTCCCTCTTGAGAATCACCTTTAGTGTTCACAGTGGCGATGCATTTTGTAGTTCTAACATCCCAGATGCGAATAGTTTTGTCCCCAGATGCAGTAACAAAGAGGTCTGGATTACTCGGATGCCAACAAAGCTGATCCACGCTGTCCCCATGCCCTCGGTAGTTATTTTCTTTTACCTAAAACGAGGGTGGCATCCGTTAACTCAAACACGTAGATATACTTCCGTGGGCCACTGGGGAATCTTGGGAGTTGGAATAGCCACCACAATAACGCACAGCACTTCCAAAGATGCCCCCATCACTTCCTCCTCAACCCCTGTCCTCCACAAAGCCTAGTCACATTGCTTCTTTCAGCTCCTGTCCCCCCTCTAATCTTCCAAGTCCTTTATCCCCTCACCCTAAAATCTCAAATCCCTACTATTCTCCAGCCCCTGACATTTTCCCTTCTCCTCCATCCTCTGGGTAAACCCCCCCCCATCACTTTTCAATTCCCTAAATCCCCAGATGTTTCAATTCAGCTCAAAACAATATTTATTAACCACCTACTACAGCATCAGGTATTTGGGATAACAATGAAAATTACAAAAACAAAAGAAAAGGTCACTGCCCTCAAATTTATATGGGGAGGAGAGGGGAGGGTCCAAGTACAAGCTCACAAACAAATAAGTACAATTTGTTAAGAACAGAGCAATAATAACGGAGAAGGAGACGGGGGAAGTGGCACAAGACAAGCTTTGTGTGTGAGGTGAAACCTGCCCAGAACCTAAATGTAACAGCAGGGGGGAGGGGAGACAGCTGGTGCAAAGGCGCGGTGGTGAGAGATGGCACGTCGTCGTGTACAGGAAAAATCAGGCCACGTCGGCCTTCCAGGGTTCGCGCTCTCTCCTGCTCCTGCCTCCCCAGACCAGGAGATCCTTACGCCCCCCAACTCCGGACTCCAGCCTCCCCCCCGGGGCTGAGCGCACCAGCCGGTCCTTCTCCAGCAAGAAGACGCTGGCCGTCTTGTCGAAGGAGCCCGAGGCCAGGCGGCGCCCGTCACAGCTCCAGGCCACCGAGTGCACCTTGGCGCTGTGCGCCGGGAACTCGCGAGTCTTGCTGTGGCTCCGAAACAGCTCCTGCATCCCGGCCACATAGTGGAACGGGCCCCCAGCCGAGCTACCCCACGGCCCGGGCCCCCCAACAGCGCCCAGCCCCAGCGCAGAGCTCCCCGCCAGGGTCGAGGCGCTCGCCATCCCGCGCACACACAGCCGAGCCACGAGCGCAGGACAGCAAGCACCAACCGCCACCCGAGCCCTGCAGTGGAGGATGGGGCGGACACGCGCAGGCGCACTTCCTCCGCCCAACGGACCACGCGGGGAGAAGCAAGGAGGCGGGGGCCTCCTGCCGGACAAGCGCAAGCGCACTCATCCCGCCCAACTACCCGTTAGGAAGCGGCGAGGAACCGCCGCGGGGAGAAATGCGCAAGCGCACGCATCCAGGGAGGGGCGCCGATTCCGGAAGCTTCGGGAACCAAGTGGCGCAAGCGCACTCCCACCACCCCAGTCTCTTGTGGAGAGTGTAAAGGGTTTAAAAACTACAAATCTCAGCCTTCAGAGTGCTGTCTCCTATGACCCTTCTTTGATATCCTTCTGGATCTCCTCGAGTCCTGCTTCTGATAGTCTCAACTTTTCCCTGCTGTCTTGTAGTCTGCTTGTACCTTAGCTAAGCAGGAGCGAATAGCCTAGAAACATCCTGGAAACCAAAGAGCATTGATTGCGCTTGGCAGACGCAGACCCTGCGGAAAGAGGCTGTGAACGTGGGGCGGGCGGAAATAGCGGGTTGCGGGGAAGCCAGAAAGTAGTGCAGGTGAACGCGGAAGATAGGGAAATTGAGAGTGACCTTTAATGGCTGCTTTCTAGGCATATTAATAAAAAACAAATAAAATAATAATAGGTAACATTTGCATAGCACTTGAAGGCTTGCAAAGTGCTTTACAGATATTTAGTTGGACTCTCCCCAAAACCCTGGCGACCTGAGTGCCATCATTGTCATCCCCATTTTACAGATGACACATTCCTCCCCCTTCACAGTTCTGCAGAACCAGTGAAACTTCGCTTCTCCTCTTCTATGACATTCCTGCCCTGTCTCAGTGCCTTTACATTGGCTGGCATGGCTGAAATGCATTCTTTCCCTCCTTCTGGCATCAAAATCTACCTCTATTCTTAATTACCCCCAAATCTCTTTTCACAAATCAACTCATTTACTTTCTACTTTTATGTGTACATTTCCTCCATAGAATGTACAAGTATGTGGGTGTCAATCTAAGACATGGATTTCTACATAGTTTATCAAAATGCTGTTCTCTCTAGAAGCTTTGATGGCTATTTCTGGAATCCTGCCTACCCCTATCTAAGAGAGACTGTGATACCTACCTTGAAAGGAACAGAAGGGCCATGAGTTTGGGTAAACTTTTCTCCAGTCCCTGAGAGGAGGACTAGACTAGAAATACAGTTGATCTTTGTAATTTACAGATTTCATATTTGCAACTTCACCTACTTGCTAAAATTTATTTCTAACCCCAAACTCTATACTCACACCTTTATAATCATTCCTCCACATAGTTAACATAGAAGCAAAAATTTGAATCGCCCTATACCCAAGTTTCTGGCTGAGGTCTAACAACCTTCTGGCAATCCTCTGCCTTCCTGTTTCAGTTTCCTGCTATAAACTATTTCCCTTTTTGTGGTCTGTTAAACCACTTTTTTTGTTTTTCGAATTTTTGTGTTTCTTGTTGGTGATTTCACTGTTTAAAATGGTTCCCAAGGATACTGCTGTCTCTGTTCCTAAGGACGGAAAGGCTATGATGTACCTTACAGAGAAAAGACATGTGTTAGATAAGCTTCCTTCCAGCATGTTCAGTGATATTGACTATAAGTTCAGTGTTAATGAATCAACAGTATATACATCCAGAAAAAAGAAAAGGAAATTCACTATCCTGTAAGTGAGGCAGCTCTGGAATGCTCTAAAGTGAATGACATGATCAGAGGCTCTCAGGAATCTAACCCAATATTGCCTGTAGGAGCAATGGTTCAGTATTCCATAATTCTTTGATCACAGTAACTTTATAGATTATAACTACCATAAATGATGAGAACTGACTGTATAACTATGTGCCTGCCTAAATGTTGCTGTACAGGGTACAGTAACTTCAAAACAAAAGCCACTCCCCTGCTCACTAGCCCTTAAGGGAAAAGGATATCCCCAGACTTATATCTGGCAGCTTGGCTCCTTCCCACCAAACACAAAGACTGGTTACACAAAGACTGTCATAAATATTGAATATTAAGTAAGCAAATAGCAAAAAAAATTAAAAATTTTAACAAGCAGCAGTTATACAAATTAGAAGAAACAAGAAAAATACACAAGAGTGAATGATTTCTTCTGATGCAAGCAAGATAATATTTCACCTTGAACCAAGAGAGAGAAATCTTGATCTCACCTAAAAGGAAATTCTCTCTCCAAAGGCAAGGTGAAAACTGGGGATATGTTGAGGAGCTGGCTTCCCCTACATCCACAGTTTTCAAAGTCTTTCTCTCCAAATTGGAGGGGTTCCCAGAGAATTTCTAAATCCATGAGTGTCTCTGGAAGAATACATTTCTTCCCCAAAGCTCTTACATCAACTCTGCTACTCCTGCAGGCATTTGGCATCCTGTCACTATTCCAGTAATTAGAATATTCTGCATATGCAGAGGCATGCAAAATGTCCCAGGTTTAGGGAAGTTACAAATATATATATATATATATATATATATATATATATATATATATATATATATATATATATATATATATATCTCAAAGGCAAGAACAGACATTTCATTTTTGTCCTTTGATCCCTAGTAGTTTGTTCCATGCAGATCATGTAGTAGGTGCTTAACAAGTAAATGATTTATTGATTCCTTGGTTCCAATGGACTATTCACCTCCCTGCAGTGTTTTCACCACTCTGTACTTTACCATCATGACTCACTTGCCTTCTCATCTTAGAACTTCCCTGAGTGTCTAAGGCCTTCTCATCCTGGAACACTGCTCCTCCATGTCAGCCCCCTTTTATTACAGGTAATTTCCATCTTGGGAACCTCCATTTTGGGAGATTACAAGGGGCACTTTGCTGTCACTGAGTGCAGGACTCTATTGCGATACCGAAACAGGGATCTGGGTCATAGACCTGAGTCAGAGTCCCAGGGTAAGGATGAGCATAAGCATATTGGAGCTTGCAGCTGCTGGGGAGCAAGGATCTTGGTCAGAGGTCCAGGGAGGAAAAGAGTGCTTGTGGTTACTCTTAGGGGAGAGTATAGGGCAGGAGAGTATGACCACACCTCTCAGTTCATACCACCTTGGAAGAACTGAAAACTATAGGTCCCTAGAATTAGTTCTGAAGACAGCAGCACAGAAAAAAAATCTGAAGCTTTTCACAATGCCTTTTCCACACTAGGAGCAGAGCCCAATGTGAACATCAAGTTAAAAGTCAAGGAATAAGCTGGGAAAATGAGCAAACAGAAAAAAAATCTTACCATAGAAAGTTATTATGATGACAAAGAAGATCAAAACACAAACTCAGACAACTACTTGCAAACACATTTGTAGCAGAGAGACACAGACTGAAAGGTAGAGGGCTGGAGAAGAATCAATTATGCTTCAGCTAAAGTGGGGGAAAAAAGGGGGCAGCTAGGTGGCGCAGTGGATAGAGCACAAGCCCTGGATTCAGGAAGAGTACCTGAGTTTAAATCTGGCCTCAGACACATAACACTTAATAGCTGTGTGACCCTGGGCAAGTCACTTAACCCCATTGACTAGCCAAAACACAAAAACAAAAACAAAAAAATAAAGTAGAAGAAAAAAAACAAATAGCAATCATGATCTCAGACAAAGCAAAAGCAAAATAGATCTAATTAATAGAGACAAGGAAGGAAACTCCATCTTGCTAAAAGATACCACAGACAATGACATAATAATATCAATAATAAACATAGATGCACTAAATGGTATACGATCCAGATTTTTAAATGAGAAGTTAAACAGGAGGAAAGACAGTAAAACTATACTAGTGGAGAATCTCAATTTTCCCCCTCAAAACTAGATAAATCTAACCAAAAACTAAACAAGAAAAAAAGTTAAGGAAGTGAATGGAATTTTAGAAAGGATATTGAAAACTAAATAATCTAATCCCAAAGAATAAGTGGGTCAAAGAACAAATCATACAAATAATAATTTCTTTAAAGAGAATGACAACAATGAGACAACATACTAAAATTTATGGGATATAGCCAAAGCAATAGTTAGGGGAAAACATATATCTCTAAATGTTTGCATCAATAAAATAGAGAAAGAACAGATCAATGAATCAATGAATTGGGTATGCAACTTTCAAAAAAAACTAGAAAAAGAACAAATTAAAAACCCCCAATTGTTGTGCACAACTAGTTCATTTAGCTATAGAGCCTACCTAGGGCCTAGGATTTCCCAATCACCTGATGAATCAAGACCAGCTTGATTTTCTATCTCAAATGCGCATTGATGAGGCAGGAGGCAGGATGGAAGCAACTCTGTTTATTTTTAGCAAAGCACTTACTTATATAGTAAAATAACAGGAACTCTTTCTCAAGTTACAATGACATATAGCCCATGCTGTGCTCAAGCACAGCGCGTGCACGAACTGTGCAGTTATCTGACTCCAATCCCAGAATAGACTGCTAATGACCATACAATAACTAGAGGAGTTAAAGACTGTTACAGATCCATACAATGGAGCACCGAACCAGGTGACCTTTGCTCAAAGATCAGCACCCAAGAGGGGCCTCTGCCCATCAGTGAGACCTCTTGAACAGCCTGTGGCCCTCTACATCCTTATAGATCCCTAACAATTCCCCCTTTTTGTTTTTGCCACAGATGGAGCATATGAAGCTCAGTCCCAAAGTCCTTTATCTGATTAGCTATGCATGTGAGCAAACACGGTCCAAAACACAGCATGGCCATCAATAGCAAACATAGTGGCAACAAAGAAGACAATAGAGACATAAGCCAATGTCCAAGGTTATCAAAAGGGTTATGGAGTTTATCTAGCCAATCAACTATATGTTCAGCAGTTTTATCTGGCATCAAATCTTTATCAGCGGCCCTTGCAATATCTTTAGCAATTTCGTATAAGTCATCAATATCCACTGCAATAGTAGAATTCCCAAACAGCTCATTTAGATGTCTACTTATTCTTTGCCACTCCCATTAGGATTTATTGTATTTAACATTGATAAGGCAAATGAATTCATACCTATAATCACATTTCAAATGCATTCT